ACGACCTAGGGGCTTTCACTTAGGAAATTCCAAGGGTTTTAGGATCTCTGTGCCAGAAACACGGATGAAAACTAAATATATATTTCTTATTATAAGTCAGAGTATCACAGCCTCGTTCATTACTCGTTATCCACAACCATTGACCACCGTCCATTGACCACCGTTCTTCAAGGAGGGACCTGATCTCCTTCTCCCTGTGCCCAGGATACTGCAGATACCCAGCAAATGTTTGCTTCTCCTTGTGGTACAAATGCCCACCCCATGGTTTGTGGAGAGGATCAAGTGAGCTCATGACACACAAACCAACATGAGATCTGTATTTCCCGCCTCTGAATCAGTGCACATCTGTGAGAGCCCAGAAGCACCCCTGACCTTTGTCCTCATTTGATGAATGAGGCTCAGACGGCCCCACCAGTCAGGGCAGAGCTTGTGCTCAAACTCAAATGTTCTTTTATTTATTTATTTATTTTTGGTGAGGAAGATCAGCCCTGTGCTAACATCCACCAATCCTCCTCTTTATTTTTTTTTTTACTGAGGAAGACTGGCCGTGGGCTCACATCCGTGCCCATCTTCCTCCACTTTATATGGGACGCTGCCACAGCATGGCTTGCCAACCAGTGCATTGGTGCACGCCGGGGATCCAAACCGGCGAACCCGAGGCCGCCGCAGTGGAGTGGTAGCACTTGACCGCTTGCGCCACCTGTTCAACCCCTCAAATGTTCATTTATTTGTGCTTAAAATCTCACTAGTGTATCATTTTCCTGCAAACTGCCAGAGAGGTGTAAATGTCACTACCGCGTCGTCCGCACCTGAGCCGGGGCCTGCTCGTGTGTTTCCCTCTTATGTGTCTCAGGGCAGAGCTGGGTTCCTGCCTGGAGATGGAAACTGATCTGGAGCAGCCCAGAACTCCCAGCAGCTGTGCTTCAGCTGGGGTTAGGGCAGAGAAGTGGACCCTGTGAGGACTGCAAGGTTGGAATGGTCCATACGGTCTGAGATGGACTGGAGAATGTGCACTGTCAGGGCAGCCCAGGCCTCAGAGTGAGGGACCTGACTTCTGGGCCTGTGCTGGCGGGTCTTCCAACCTGCTGGGCCTCCATTTCCCCATTTGTAAATTGGGGATAATGGTTCCCAGCCTGTGATCTTCAAGGACCTCTTTTGAGGGTGAGACTAGACAGTGAATACATTTAAAAACTCCAAAGAACAGGCGACGCTGAGGTTTAGGCTGTCCTGCCTGATGTGTGGCACACTCCCGTCCTCCTGACGACAAGGTTGCCCCAACGCTTTGCCGGTCCCATTAATTGCCCCCGGTGGTTCCCATATGAGCCAAGGAATGCCCCAGCGGGGGCTTGAAGCTGGTTTGAATTGGGTCTCTGACAAGCAGAGTCCAGAGTAATGTAATGACAGGCCGTTCTTCGAGGTAAATGACGGTGTCTTAGGTGAGCGTCCTCAGCTCATTCAGCCTTCTTCACGCTCCCCGGACTCAGGAATTCCGCCAGCCTTGCACCTGCCCCTTTCCTCCCGCAGAGCGCCAGTGTCGGGGACTGTGAGGTGTGGCCCGGGTTGCTTGCTCCGGGCTGTGAGCTCTTTAAGCTCAGGTGGGAAGAGCTCTAGAAGGTCGGGGGATCTAACTGCAGAGGCTCCCTGGGCGTGTGCTGTGGGTTCCCAGTGTTCTGCACCCTTCGAGGAGGAATCTAGCTCTGTCTGAGGCCAGCGTGGCCGTCTGGTAGGTGGCGTGGGTGACGTGATGAGGTTTGGAGGAACAGGTGGAGCCCCTGCAGCCAGCTCTGCCACTAACCAGCTCCGTGACCTTGAGCAAGACAACCAGCCTCTCCGAGCCTCGGTTTCTTCATCGGTACAATGTGCCTATGAGAGGAGAGCAGCTGCACTCGCGACATCACAGGGCTGCTGTAAGATTAAACAAGAAAACGCTGGATAGCCCCTCCCAGGGAGCCGGGCTTACAGAGGGAGCTCATGGATGCAACAAACACAGTCCCTCGTATTGGCACCTGCTCTGCTATCCTTTAAAAGCTGTTTCAACTATCTGAAGTGAACCTCACACCAACCCAAGGTAGGTTTTATAACCACGATGAGGACATGGAGGCTCAGAGAGGGTTGACAACTCACTAAAGTCACACAGCTGGAAAGTGGTCGAGTCTGAACTTGATCCAGCTCGTTAGACCCTCGGGTCTGGTGTGATTCTAGGTGCTGACGATGTTGGTGTCAGTAATGGAACTGGTGGAAGGTGGAAGTCTCTAGGCAGAGAAAGCTCAAGAGGATATGAGGCTTATTTGGGAAACAGTGAATCCTTATCCATTGTATTAAATTATGTGACATGACACATATGTGGCCATTTTGACTTAA